TTCTGAATTTCTGTTTTTCTGAATTTCTGAATTTTTGACTCTTCTGAATTTCTGAATTTTCGAATTTCTGAATTTCTGAATTTCTGAATTTTCGAATTTCTGAATTTCTGAATTTCTGAATTTCTGAATTTCTGAATTTCTGAATTACTGAATTTCTGAATTTCTGTTTTTCTGAATTTCTGAATTTTTGAATTTTTGATTTTTTGAATTTCTGAATTTCTGAATTTCTGAATTACTGAATTTCTGAATTTCTGAATTTCTGAATATCTGAATTTCTGAATTTTTGAATTTCTGAATTTCTGAATTTCTGAATTTCTGAATTTTTGAATTTTTGATTTTTTGAATTTCTGAATTTCTGAATTTCTGAATTTCTGAATTTCTGAATTTCTGAATTTCTGAATTTCTGAATTTCTGAATTTCTGAATTTCTGAATTTCTGAATTTCTGAATATCTGAATATCTGAATTTCTGAATTTCTGAATTTCTGAATTTCTGAATTTCTGAATTTCTGAATTTCTGAAATTCTGAATAATTGAATTTCTGAATTTCTGAATTTCTGAATTTCTGAATTTCTGAATTACTGAATTTCTGAATTTCTGAATTTCTGAATTTCTGAATTTTTGAATTTTTGATTTTTTGAATTTCTGAATTTCTGAATTTCTGAATTTCTGAATTTCTGAATTTCTGAATTTCTGAATTTCTGAATTTCTGAATTTCTGAATTTCTGAATTTCTGAATTTCTGAATTTCTGAATTTCTGAATTTCTGAATTTCTAAATTTTTGAATATCTGAATTTCTGAATTTCTGAATTTCTGAATTTCTGATTTCCTGAATTTCTGATATTCTGAAAATCGTATTCTCTATATTCTCGTTTTTTGGACTTTTACACCACAAAGACGATCATTGTAATATTCGATAGATAACAATAAATATGTGTCAGTTGTGTCCAAAATGTTGTGTCGAATGTATTTAAAGTGTTCAACTGATAAGAGAACAATCTATAAAAAGAGGGCGAGATGAAAAACAAGTCATATCAATTAACATAATGATTCTGTTATTGTCATTTTGTCTATTACTAATTTTCTGGATTATTTCAAATTTTCGGAAAGGATCAAATTTGCCTCCCGGACCCACACCTCTTCCATTAATTGGAAATATTCATCAACTGATTTACCTGATATGGAAATTAAATGGAATTGTGCCAACATTGGATTTTTATAGAAAGGTAACATATTTTAAAAATGTGGAACTTTCTGGAAATTTCGAAGATTCCAGAAATACGGAAACGCCTATACCATTTGGCTGGGACCAATGCCCACTGTCAACATAACGGATTACGAAATGGCTCATGAGATTTTCGTTAAAAATGGGAAAAAGTGTCAGGATCGACAACTGGCGCCAGTTCTTGAGCATATTTCAGGTTGGAAATAGTAGACAAAAAATGAGCTAACGCACTAGAAATGCGTCAAGTCCCCGAAAATGCGCCTGCTAGTACTTTGACGCATTTTCAGTGTATTGAACGCAGATTAGCTGTTCCAGGGACAAAAATCTCCAGGGCGCTAGGAAAGCGTCAAGTCACGGGGAATGCGTCAAGTCACCGAAAATGCGCCTGCTTGGTTTCTTAATTTTTTCCATGTCTTGACGCATATCTAATTCCTAGACGCATTTGCCGTGTCGTGACGCATTTTTGGTGCCTTGACGCATTTCCAGTAACTTGACGTGTTTCTAGTGACTTGATTCATTTCTAGTGACTTGGCGCATTTTCAGTGACCTGAAAAATTTCTGGTGCTTCTACGCATTTCCAACTTTTTGGCGTATTTCTAGCGACTTGGCCATTTCCAGTGCCTTGACGCATTTTTGTTGCTTTGGCGCATTTCAGGTGACCCAACTCATTTCAGCGACTTGACGCGTTTCTAGCGACTCGACCCTTTTTTGGTGCCTTGGCGCGTTCTTAGTGACTTGTCGCTTTTCTAGTGATTTGACTCATTTCTGGTACATTGACGCGTTTCCGGTGATTAGACGCATTCATGATTCAGCAGCTATTTCTAAATTTTCTAATAACTTGACGCATTTCTGGTGACTTGACGCACTTTTGGTGATTTGACGCATTTTTGGTGGCTTGACGCATTTCTAGTGACTTGACGCACTTTTGTTGATTTAGCGCGTTTCTAATGCTTTGTCGCGTTTTCAACAACTTGACGCATTTCTAGTGACCCATTTTCAGGCGGCCACGGCATCCTAGCGGCGAATGGAGAAAACTGGGCAGAAATGAGGCGATTCACTTTGCTCTCCTTTCGAAAAATGGGAGTGGGAAGTGGCCTAATGGAGAAGAAGATCATGGCTGAACTTGATGGAAGGTTGAATGGAACAAGTTTTTCCATTATTTTCAAATTTCCAGATGCTCCGAACTGGACGCTGAAATTGATAAGAATGGAAAAGTGACAGTTCCAGTCGATTTCTTCGATTTGACAGTTGGAAGTGTTATCAATAGTTTGCTGGTTGGAAAGCGATTCGATGAGAATTCAAAGGACGAATTTTTGAAAATCAAAAAAATGTTCGATGACTCATCGGAGACGTTTAACCTTTTCGATTTGAATGTGCCTGTGTGGTTTTTGAAATGGGTGCTTCCTTGGAGGTTCCGAATCACGTGGGATGCAAGACAGAATATTTTGAGTCATGTGGGAAAAGAAGCGGTTGAGAGGTTTCAAAAACTGAAAGATGGAACTTATGATCTGGATTCTGAGGAACCTAAAGATCTAGTGGATTGCTTTTTGGCAAAAATGAGATCAGAAAATGAAAAAGGACAAGATGGCCATCCAGGATACAAGTAAGTCTTCTACGGTACCCCAAAAAAGTTGTCAAGAATTTCTGAATTTCCGCGTTTCCGAATTTTTGAATTTCTGAATTTCTGAATTTCTGAATTTCTGAATTTCTGAATTTCTGAATTTTTGAATTTCTGAATTTCTGAATTTCTGAATTTCTGAATTTCTGAATTTCTGAATTTCTGAATTTCTGAATTTCTGAATTTCTGAATTTCTGAATTTCTGAATTTCTGAATTTCTGAATTTTGAATTTCTGAATTTCCGAATTTCTGAATTTCTGAATTTCCGAATTTCTGAATTTCTGAATTTCTGAATTTCTGAATTTCTGAATTTCTGAATTTCTAAATTTCTGAATGTCTGAATTTCTGAATTTCTGAATTTCTGAATTTCAATAAAAAATCGTTTCAGAAAATCTGAAATCCAAAAATCTGGATTTTCAAAAAACGAGAAAATTGTAAAACTCAAAAAAATCTGGAATTTAAAAAATTTATTCGAATTCCTGATCCATTAAATGAACGATTTTTTTTATTATCAATCAAAATTCTCGATACAGTTATTCAATTTTTCAGCATGGACGCTCTGAAACTCGTGCTCCACGACTTATGGCTCGCTGGTCAAGGCACAACTGCCACTTCTCTCTACGTCGGGTTCTTGAAACTTGTGACCCATCCATCCGTGATTTTGAAAATTCAAAAAGAGCTTCTAAAAATCACCCAAGGCTCCAGGGACCTCACTCTCCAGGACAGACCCAACACACCATACTTAAATGCCACAATTGCAGAAATTCAAAGATTCACTTCGGTGTTAAATGTGAATTTTTGGAGAATAAATGATGAATTAATCAGCTTTCGAGGATTCCAAGTTCCGGCTGGAACAATGATGACTGCTCAAATTGGAGCTCTTCATGTGAATGAGCAACTTTTCGAAAATCCAGATGAATTCGATCCGGAGAGATTTTTAAGGAACGAAAAGCTTCTTCAACAATTGATACCATTTGGAATCGGAAAACGATCGTGTGTAGGAGAACAGTTGGCACGATCGGAGCTGTACTTGGTAAATAAACTCTAATTAAGCTTAATTATCTCAATTACCGTGAAATTTATCATGATATTGTCAACTGATAAAATGTTGATGGCATCATACTTGCAAAATTCCGGGCCGGGCCTGAGGAAATTTTCAAGGCCCGGGAGCAAAAATTTTGTACTTTTGAGCCAAATTTTGAGCTCTCTATACAATTTTCTCCATTTTTTTGTTTTTTGGATTGCTTGTCTGTTTGATAAAAAAATATCAAAAAAACTCGGAAAAAATTTTTGATCGAAAAAAATCACATAAGGGTCCCCCCTTATGTGTTTTCTGAAATTTTCAAAACTTTTGGAATGACAGACCCGCCGGGCCGGGCCGGGCCTCCGAAATTCGGGAAAAAGCCCACATTATGATAAACAATTTATCAGTTGACAGGTTTTTGATATATGTTACCGGGATTGAGATAATTTAGGAATCCAATAGACGGAGACAGCTAGATACCACTGACTCCGTCTCTCAAACACTTCATATGACCTATCTTGGCTCCAAGAACAGCTAGAAATCAGGTTTTTTTTTGGGTTTCGGTGGATTTTACCCAACTAATGATAATAATGATAACTTTTAGGTCCTGGGAAACTTGCTACTTCGCTACGACATCCGTGCTCATGGTGCACTTCCAACCAACATGGATGTGTTCCCGTATAGTTCTGCAAAACTTCCCGACACTTCTGGAAAATTTGAATTCAGAAAGATTCAAAAAACGTAGATTTTTTATCGATTAAACCTTGAATACATAAATGTTATGTTTCTATTCTTTTTTGATAAAAAAAGACATTGAGAGTTCGAAAGAAAAAGTAAAACTTTTCCATTTAAGTTCAATTATTCATGTGCTACAGTTCAGACACCCTGATAAATTCTGAGCCAACCTATGTATACTTGCTTTTTGAGTTCAATTATTTCGGTTCCTTCGATAGATTTCAAAACTTTAAGAGCTGATAAAATATTTGTCATCAATAGGCAAACATTTTATCAGTTGAGCAGTTTTTTATATGTCTCATAGAAATTGAAATATTTAAGCTATTGAAGTTTTCTGCATTCATAAAGTAATAAAAAATATATATTAGTTGGGATTGTCTACTTTTCAAAATTCCCAACTTTCAAACCCTCCTGGAAAACCCAACCTTTCTAAATATGCTTTAATTTTGAAATTTCGACTTGCAAATTGAAAATCATGGAACACTTTTTTCGCCTGAATTTTCTGGAAAAATCCAAATGTCAAATCATAATTTTCAGCTGATTTTCAGACGTAGTTTTTGGTTTTTGGTTCGCACAAAAACAACAAACTTCAGCTGTTTCAAAAATCGAAGACTTTTCTCCAAGACAATAAATGGATTCCAACTCCACAAACTCTTCCGATTTATTTTATGATTCAACAAAGCTTTATGAACCATTAATGTTTTTTTACATTTTCTTTCTATTCTTAGTTTTCCCATTCTACGTTCATGTGTCCCGTTCGAACCGTGAACGAGATAAAGCCTCTTCCGTTTATCAGGTTATCAGTTATTTTTATAAAAGTATCATTCTTCAATATATCTCTTTAACATTTATTGTTATCACCTTATTTCCAATAGAATATTTTCTCAAACGCCATCCAAAGATTGTGATTTTTCCTGGAATAATATCGACAATCGCTGTGCTGATAGGTTTATTATCAGCACAAGTCAATTATCTCCTCATTTCGTTGTTAGCAATTCAACGTTTTTCCATTTATTTTCATCCATGGACTGAGAAATATCTGCAACTTTCAAAATGGAAATTTTGGTTTTTAATTATGTTTGAATATATTTTAGCTTTTATTGGACTCGGCATACATCGTAAAATGATTGGCTTAGTAAGTGATAATTAAACTCTAATTAAGTCATAAAAAATTTTTCAGTATTTGTATATCTGGCAAAATCTAATGCTTCTATCCTCGTGTATTTTGTACATCCCAATTGGTTTGAGTATTCGGAAGTTTAGTCATTTAGCTTCGTTTCAAGGCAATCAACCTCAGCGTTACATTCTTTGGCAGTTGGTTACTGTCGTTTCGGTAAAATTCGTACGTTTTTTTCCTCTGGTGGTGGGGGGACAGGAGATTTTTCGGAGGATTTTTATAGCCAGCGTATACATTCTTTCGTAACGGTGTCCAACGCTTAATGTGACTCTGCGTACAGCTGTCGTTCGCACCAATACTTCAATACTTGCCCCGACAAGTTCAACTCCTCGAGGGGCATATTTAATTTTTTTCAGATATACACATTTTCATATTTTATCATCCATCTTTCATCAACCGAAATTGAAATGGATTTTTATGGAACGTTTTTTCATGCACTGATAAGTATGAAAGCCACAGATGCATTGGCATTTCCTCTAGTCATTCAAATCTCGTATCTTGGTTGTAACCGTCAGAATTTGAAGACATTTTTGAAATCATTGAAACTCAAAAAATTATCATGGAAGTTGTTCGGCAATGGTCAAGTAGAGGATAGGAATCAGTCGATTTACATTTCAAGGTCGTCTGCGTTGGCGCTTCCTTAAATTTTCAAATGAAGAGTTTGAAGCGCTGAAGATGCGGCAAACAGGCTAGTAACTTCAAATATGTTAAATTTAAATATATTTCTAATATTTCGGAATTTTACAAATTTTGGAATTTTCCGATTCTTTTCGAATTTCGGAACTCTTTAATTTTTGAATTTTCGAATTTTTTTTGTTTATTCAATTTTTTACATTTCGTAACTATACGTTTTTTGAACTGCTCATTTTTTGAATTTTCGTTTTTTTTACGTGAGAATTTTTTTACGTGAGAAGCTTTTCAAAATCTGAATAAAAATTAGCTAATTTGAAAAAAAACAATAAAAACAA